ACGTAGCACTCTAAGGTTTACAGCATTCAGAGGAGCAGCAGACGTAGCACTCTAGGGTTTACAGCATTCAGAGGAGCAGCAGACGTAGCACTCTAGGGTTTACAGCATTCAGAGGAGCAGCAGAAGTAGCACTCTTTAGCCTCCCAGCTGGGACAGACAGTTGCTAGTTGACAGGATATTTGATAGAGATATTAGTGAAAACTCTCAGCCAAAAACGGATCATGTTTAGATGAGTTATTGGGCCTGCATGTAAGGCTGCTGATAGAAACACTCAGCTGCTTTTTAAGCTTGGTGTAATCTGGTGGTTAATGATAGATATATTCTGATATATCAGGAAACCTCAGATATCTTATATGCTTTTTATTACCCTCCATTACTTTATGGATTTCAGTTAGAGTAGCAGCACCAATGGTGGGAAAGTTACTCTGCCTTCTTTTTATGTGAAGCATTTTGCCTTCAGCTCAACAGCCTTTAAAAATCAGGTCTATCCAGTTCCCATCATAAAGCTCCTACATTTACTCACAGTGACAGAAAACAGTTTATCTCCAGTGTGTTGATCTTTGATTCAGGGCTTCCTCTGTGACTAAAGGCAACATGTTGCTCTCTGTTCTCTCCCTCAGTTGTTCCTTATTGACTTTGGTTTGGCAAAGAAGTACAGAGACAATCGTACACGACAACACATCCCCTACAGAGAAGACAAGAACCTGACGGGGACCGCACGCTACGCCTCCATCAACGCACACCTGGGCATTGAACAGAGGTTTGTCCATCCGTCACTTTCACTGCAGCGCTCTGAATCCTCCTTTCTGATTGGTTGAGACGGGCGGCGGGGAGTTTACAGCAGAAACCTTCTCCAGGAACTTTCCTTCCTGGGTTGTCTGCTGTGGCCATGATCCACTCAGCTCCCTCTGTTGGGTTCCAGCAGCCATTGTTGCTGCGTAGCTTTATTAAACCCTGGCAGTAATGTTTAGCGCCTCTCTGCATGCATGTGTTTATGTCTGGATGTGCTGTTGTTTGCAGTCGCCGTGACGACATGGAGTCTCTAGGCTACGTGCTGATGTACTTCAACAGAACCAGTCTGCCTTGGCAAGGATTAAAGGTAGGAAGAATCCGTCTTTCATGTTTTTATTCCCTGGATTCCACTTCCTGAGCTTCAACTCGCCTTTCTAAGCCTTTGCTGTTGGTTTTTCCACAACCTTCACTTTAACTGATCAGTTACTTGTAAAGAAAATGTTTTATTTTTTTTTATGTCTCAGCCTTGAGCTGCAGACCAATCAGAAGCAGCTCTGACCTTTGGAATCCCAAAGGGGAAACTAATCAGAATGGCTGATCTCAGCTCACTTTATAGAGATAACTCAATCAGATCATCCGGTCAGATTAAAGGTTCAAAGGAAAACCAGTTGATTGCATCGACTCATTGATTCTTCAGCAATCCCTCACATTAAGCATGCTTTGAACAGGAAGAAACCTCCAGCAGCAAAAAAAAAAATGAAGATAGTTCTATGTTATTTAGTTCTTAGGAAATCAAAATGTTACTTAGATTTGTCATTTAAACTTATTTTAATGTCTTTTTTTAATGGAATGGCAGGTTTATGTTAATTTAGAGGCTAAATAGTAAAATTCTTCTCAGTTTATTTCTATGGGTCTGGTCTATAGATCCAGATCAATCAGATCAGTTCATCCCTCCAAGTCACTGACTTGGAGGGATGAACTCCAAAGTCTTTGAGGTGGAAATACCTTTTGGCCATCACCCTCATTTATAATATAATCTCTAGGGCTGCAACAACGAATCGATAAAATCGATAAAAATCGACTTTTAAAAGCGTTGGCAACGAATTTCATCATCGATTAGTTGTGTCGCGCGATTATTGCGTCATCCGCCGCGCCGTCATCACTGCCTCTTGACTGAAAGAGGAAGAAAAAAAAATATGGC